TCATATATTGTATGTAATTTAAAACTCAACGGGTATGCATTATTTTAATTTATATATGAAAGGATCTGCATAAATTTAGCCAATCATTTTTTGTTTTGATTCTTTTTTAGAATTACACAATGAATCTAGAATGTTAATCATTACAGTATTTGGAAATTCCAAATTTGGAAATCTCCCTGACTGTAATTGAAGGTTACGTTTTTTTGATATCCTAAATGTTTATTTGGCATTATGTTACACATGATATTACACGTGCTCATGTGAAAATTCGTTATATGAAACTTCAAAAAGTGAGTTCGGATTCGTTATAAACAGATTTATTATAAAAATTCGATCATGGCGATTTTGATTCGCTATATCCAGAGTCAACTATAAACCGTATTCACATGCCAAAAGTCTTATTTATTAATAATAGTCACAAATTTGTAACTTATACGGTTTAAGAGATAACAGATTGTATAAATCTGACAATCACTTCATATGACTTACATATTAATATAAATCAACACGGATTCACGTGATCTGAAATAAAATGCAGATATCTCAAAATTTAAATTATAATTAATATTAAATAAAATTACTATTATCTGTAATCGCAAAATAAAAAAATGTTGTCTATAAAAATCCAAACAATCATTTGAAATAAATGACATAAGATATGATTTAATGAAACTAAAAGTATTGATGAAATGGAAAAAATGTTGATGATGATGATTTGCTGAATGAAGAAATAATTTCTATGTCGAATTTTAATGAAGAAAATCAAGATGAAAAAGACATCGAAGAGACATATCCTATTTCAAGTCAAGATGCTTTATTGGCTATTGAAAAAGTAAACTTGTTTGTTTGAACAACAGTTTAAAGAATTTACAAATGAGGAATTGAAGTTGTTAAAAAATGTCAAAAAGAAAATTAAAAAAATCCTAAATTACTGTTTTTTAAAAAATTTTTTTATTCCACATGACTTAATGTAGTAGTAGTACAATTTTCTATACCGGATTCTCTCTATAATAATAACGGACAATATTTGTTTCGGAGATAAAATACTTTATTTATTATCATTATATATTCTATATACAATTAATATTTAATGTAGTAATAATATATACAGTATAATAGCGTAAAACAAAAACGCGTCATAATAAATTATACTTTTACGCAGAATCTTATTTTTTAAAATTTAAGTATTGCCAAAACGATTATTTAAATACATGTATTGTCTCTACAACTAGTAATGTTAGCTGATATAAAACCTTAGCCAGCTAAGAACTTAATAAATCCCAGTTGATGAAAAACCTTTTCAGATGGTACTAATACTAAGCTTGCCGGTATTATTATTACTACTACTATCGTTATTATTATTACTATTATTTACTATTGTTATTATAATATCTCGCCTTTAATGGTTCAAATTATTTGTTTTATTCATTATGAATTTGAGTATTCGAATTATATTGAAAAGTTTTATTCGAATAGAATGAATAAAACGAATAAAACAAATAGGTAGAATTTCATCAGGAAAATAAATCTTACGTAAACCTACATAGGGTCCAGAATTGGCCAGAATTATGTCGATATTTTGGTAATTCTGTTAACATTTCTGCATAATGCTGGTCAGTTTTAAACCCTGCGTAGGTTTACGTGAGATTTATTTTCCTGATGTTGGTTGTTTTCAATTCCGTCAAATACTGACAATTCAAAATCTTTTAGCAGGCGAGTAATTTACTTTAATGATGATGACGCATTAAGACCTAAATTAATCGATGAACATTATGGTCATCATCCATGAACAATGTCCGAATTTTCTACCTTTAGTGGCATTTGGTAAATTCTTATCTTTTGTACTTTTTGGCATTTTTTACAAATAAGTATTAGTAATTCAACATGTGCAACATAATATTACTTAATTGTTTCTTTAGAATAAAATGACCAAGATAAAAAAATCAACAAATGGTTCAGCGGAAATTGGGAATGTATGAAATTCACACCTATTGACCTGCTCTTCCTGTACCAATTCCTTCCACCTCACTCCCTGGACAAAAGTATCCGGACACCTATTTTTACTAATTATACAAAAACGCACATAATAACTACATAAAATTTTATCAAAATGTAGCTTAGGTTTTGGTGAATATGCATGTAAATTTTGATACTCTCAAAACATCTAGAAAAATTTTAATTAAAATAATCTAAAATTCGACAAAAATCGCAATTTCATTTTTTGTTTCTCAAATTTACTCAAGATCCTGCATAATAATAAAAATAAAAAATTATGTCTATCTATGTGATGAATTAACTATTATGCCAGCTACATGTTGCATTTGTGCCACTCATCATTTGCTCTAATGACATCAATATATAATAAAAATGTAAACCCACCTGTGTAAGGATTCTAAGTAATTTATTCTACATAGATGTATCATCAGAATAGATATTTAGTGAGGCGTTAATAGCATTGTTTACTATAGTTCTAGATTCTTCTTTAGAGATCCAAGGTTCTTCTTCTATAACTTGGAAAATAACTGAAGAAGCAGTTATATGCTCCAATGGAGATTCAGTGAGACCTTTTGGTATAATTCGCTAGACATATTGATAGTTATTAGTTAATAGTAAGAAAATCACAAAAATTGATAGAGTTTGAAAAAATCGCAAGCAACAAAAAATCACTAAATAAAAAGTGACAAACAACCACAACGCAAATATACTACCCTTTTAAAACGTTTTCGTTTATCTCTTTCTGGAATTTGGCAGTATTGAAAATAGATTTGGAAAGTAATGAAACGAGTGATGCACAGCGAAAAAACTCTAATAAACAATTAATGTGTAACCTGTCGAAACTCTGTCGATTGATTTCTGGAGGAGTTTCTCCCGCAACCTTAGTAATTGTACATCCTCATCCTGTTTTCTTTTCTTAATGTTTACTATCTTTCTTTCTTCTTGGTAAATTTCATAAGTAATATTTTCTTTCCTTAGATAAGCTTCCAGTGTTTGAGTATCATTTATTTTGAAAATGTAAGGAGCAATTTTTTCACCTTGTTCTTTTTTTAAAATACTTCTGATTGTACTATAATTCTTGGGTTCCATAGTAGATCTAACATAAATTAATTTCATATTAACTATTTTTATGTAGGGATAGTTATATATATCACTCAAGATAGAAAATGGGATATTATAAAACTGTTAATTATAATCATGTTACAAATGACTAAATTTTGATCCCTGAATCTTTGGTAATTAGTGTTTATATTCATTCGTAATTGTTCGGACAATATCCAAATATCATTCAGTGAAAGTTGTAATAGTTTACAATTACATAGTCTTTTCACCACTTGAACATCTTTATTTGACAATGTCAAATGAAATTATCTTTGCCAAGGCATATTTTAGAATTGCTACCTTTTTAGTAATTTGAAGATATTACAAAATTAACTGAAGGCGGATTTAGTTCAATTTATACCGCTAGGATAAATAACTGATTATGAAAAAAAAGGATCTCTTCCAACCCATTGTTGGAAATGCACTCTTTTACCATTTTTGACATACTGTCAATTAATCTAAAATATTTTTCGTGCGGGATTCTTTTCTCAAATAATTTTCTAATTCATCTTTATTTTTTGGATGTGTAGGCGTTTTTTAATCACATCCTATGAATGTTCAATTGGATCAAGGCCTGGAGATTGAGAAGACTAATCTTCCAATACCTTCGCTTTTTTTCAAATAACTGTTTGTAGCATTTTTCGCTGTATGATTAGGAGATTTTGTAATGATTTGTAGAGAAGATTTCTCGAATGAATGGTAACAATTCATTCTCTAAAATAAATATTGATATAATCTTGATGATACATTTTTCCTTCTACTCTGACAAATGGTCCTAACCCTTTTTACCTGTGAAGCAACCCCAAACCATCATTCCTCTCCCGCCATGCTTTACTGTTGGTGCCAGATTTTTTAATATTAAAAATTAGTCCCAAATTCGCGTTGGTGCATCATTGCCAAATAGCGTAAAGCAGAGACCAGTTTTTTCGATCAATACGCAAACTTTGATGACTGAAACATTTAAGCCAATGGATTCATTTAAGATTTTTTTATATCACTAGCAACAACTCTATTATTGTTAGCAATAATTTCTTTCAAAGCGGTTTTTTTTATTGTCACAAAGTACTTTAGGTCTACCACTTCTCCATAAACTTGAATGATTCTTTTCATATTTGCGACTCTACATTTTCAAAACTTTAATGTCAATGAACTTTTTGGTGATCAATCAATATCATACTAGCATAGTGGACACTGTTGCAGATCACAAAAAAATGATCAACATAACATATGTTATGGTGAAAGTTCTTGCAAAAGTTTGATTATAAAAGTGTGAGATAATTTTGATCTTGCTGATGATCTGGACTTAGAGAGGCTACAGCTATATTCTTGTAAAGTTTCAGAAGCAACTGGCTCTGTGTAACCGCCTGCCTATTATACAAATGACTGTTGCACAAAATGAGTGTCCATTATGCTTATCATACTATTGTATGTCTCAAAATTTTCATCTAAAAATTTTGGAATGCTTCGTAGTTGGACAAACAATAAACCAGTTATTGAATGCAACAATTACGTGTAATTTACGTGCCACTGTTTTAAGCTCGGCCAGCAACCATTCTGATTTTTCCATTATCACATGCAATAACTAATTTATTGGACTTTGCAGGTGAATAATGATAAATGTTATTTCTTCGAAATATATCAGCATTATTAAAAATATTATTATTCAACAATTTATATACAAAAAAAATTATTTACTCTTAATATTTTATATTTTACAAATTTTATATAAATATATTTTTTTTTATTTTTTTATTTTATTATTATTTCAGCTAAATAAAATTATGTGTACATATATAATAAAAAATTTTTTGAATAATAAAAAATGTGATTTTTTTTTTTAGAGACACGCAGAAATGAAGGTGCTCTTATCTAAATTGATTTGCTCTATATTGTCATTATAAAAGATTTGCCCTTCTTTTTCCTCGCGCCTTAGATCATATATTCTTGATTGGAGCGCCTTAAAATCATAGTCACGTTTGGACCAAAGGAATTCCTTGAGAAGTTGCTTATTCCTTTCCACTGCATATTCATCCTTTGATTCATCTGTTGTGATTAAATCAAGGGCTGTAGGTTCTACCCTCTTATAATCATTTAGAGTATGTCGCAATTTTTTTAATTTTTCTTTATTACGTTGTGCCTCTTCAGAATACTGTTCATGTGCCAATTCTAATTTCCTTTTACGCGAATCTTTCAAATATTGTCTGTACTCTACACCAGATCTTTTGATGGCTTCTTCACAATTCACACTCAAATGATATATTCCTTTTAAAGACCAAAATGCTTGTAGTCCATTAACAACTCTACCAATTGGTTCGTGTTCTTTAAAAGCACTTCGTTTTGGATTATGAACTATAGAATACTTCTCTCGTATGTAGTGTATGTATTTAGCAAGTGCTACTCTATAATCTTCATATTCATAAAGAGTAACTTCATGCGCTTCAGGAAGTTCATCAAGGCTTAAATATTTAAAAGCTGCTTCAAGCACCTTCTTATACAATCTGTCTGATATTCTTTTGATTACTACACGTTCATCAGAACGTGCTACCAAGACCCAGTTGTTATGCCAAGCTAAAACTACACCGGCTGTTCTATCTCTTCCACTAGTTGATGGTACGATTAATCTTGGTTCAACTGTGTCGCCTTCCTTGCTAGTATCTGCTTGGGCCAATTCTGGAATTTCATCTTTAAATGAAAGTCCTCCAATTGGCCTTTTGTAAGTTCTGTAAGGCTCGGGAACCGTGATTGGTTCTCCCTTGGGTCCAAATACTGTAATCTCACGATCGTTTCTAGCCAAGATTAAACCGACAATGACTGGTGGTTTTTCATGACCATACGCTAATGGACATGCAATTGATCTAACAGGTGGTCTATCTGGGGTTTCAATAAAAGGGATCGATATAGTGACCCAGGAACCAACGGTGCAATTGATTGTTTCTTTTGTATCTCTGAGCTCATAAAATATGCCATCTCCATCTAATGTTAACCCATATTTGTCACCACCATCATTGATAATAATTGATTTTTTTTCTGGTATTCTTCTGAGTATATAACCTTGTAATGGCAGAGTGAAAGTGGTCATGCCTGAATCAGGAATTTCCAAAAAAAAATCATCAACCGCAATGGTTGGTCTTAACTCATGAACTAAATCTTTGCTGTACATGTATGGTTCGTTGGATTCTCTTGGTGGTGATGGGCTTGGAGGTTTTACATATGGTCTATCAAAACCTGGTGGATTTGAGTGGTTTGGTATAGGTGCATACATTATAGAAATCATTGACGGTGTAAGTCCCCTGGTTAGATTCTTGGGCTTCCTTATCTTCCTTGTGGTAGCTACTGGCTGGGTGTTGTTGCTTAATTTTTTACTTGCATCGTTACTTTTAATCGGTGCTACTTCTTTTCTTTTTCTGGATTGAGTTGCCACAGTTTGTTTAGGTGTGTCAATTTTATTTGTTAATAAAGCCTGTGAATTGGATTTCAAATATTCTAAAGATGATTCTACTATTTTGCTTCTTGTTGATGCTTTTTGAGTTGATGTTGGTGCAACGTTTTTTGAAGGGATATATTCAGTATCTGAATCGGCATTGAAATTGTCGTTTTTTTGTAATGGTTCCTAAATGAGATAATATGCACATGTGTGTATATATATATATATATTGTATGTGTAAATTATGGTTAAATGAGTTTTTAGTAAAGATTCAATTGTTTCAATTAAGAGCATGTTTTTTCCTTATATATACCTTTTGGTCTCCTGTTTGGTTAATAATGAACAAATAAGGAAATTATATAGTTCCCCAAAAAAGTTTCGATACGACGAGACAAATTTGTTTGTTGATATTTTAATATATTATATATATAAAGTTAGGTGTTAAAAAAAGAATAATGTTTTGTGAGCATGATAATCACGGATAGGACATAATATAAAAAAATTGAATAATTTCGTTAGCAAACCCCCAAAGTTATGTATTTATTCAAAAAATGGTATTCAACAAAAAAAGATTGACTACAGTTATTTAAATAACCTTGAACAAAAAAAAATTTTAAATGAAAATTTTTTTTTTCTCATACAACTAACGATTTTCTCTCAATAAAAAAAAAGTGTGGAAAAATAAGAAAAGAAAGATATACAATAAAATATAATACTAAAATCTTGAATTAATTATATTTTTGAATAATAATTTTGGGGGCGCATATAAATTAAAAAAAAAACCATTAAACTAAACAGTACCACTACCTGAAGATTCGGATCCGGAAGATGCTGAGCTTTGACTGTCAGTAGAATCATCATCATCAGAACTATATTGTCCTTCTGTTCAACCCGAATTATTTAATTACACACATATATATAAATATATATATTTTAATAAAAACTTGATTCGATTTAATATACATACTTTTATAAAATGAGGATTTATTATCATCTTCAAATTTAGCCAAAGTCGCTTCCAGAGATTTTATTTGTTCTTGTTCACTCAAATTTTTTCTTTTAGTGGTGGTTTTACTTTTTTGCTTACGATTATTTGGATCAGAAGTATTTGCCATAACAAAATTATAAATTTGTTTAGCAGTTTTTTTGTCGATAGATTCAATTTCCAATTCGTAGCCACCTTCCTCGGCCACCATAGGTGCACCACTTTGCTCTATCATTCCAATAAGTGTAATCATAAGCTCTTCAGGAAAATTTTCAATTCTTTTAGCAAGGATATCCTTTTGTTCAGCAGTAAGTTCTTTGTCATCGTCCTCTTTAACAAAATCATCACTGGTTTTTGAAATACGAGCACGTTTAGGTTTTGGCATGGTGTCAGGTGATGAATCAGCGTCAGACTTTGATTTTGATTTTTTAGTTGATTTTTTGGTTGATTTTTTGGTTTTGGATTTTTCTGATTTTCCAACATTAGAAAGTTGAGATGATAAAGACGATAAAGCATTAAGATGCTTCTGTAAAGCTTTTATATGTTTACCTCCTCAATGGAAAATTATATTTGTTTATTTATTTGTACTATTAAATATAAAAAAGAAAGAAAAATGATATACATACTTTCATTGTCTGAACCTGATTCTTGTTCTTCCTTAATGTCTTTTGGAATAGCAGTTGGAGGAGACTGTGAAACTGGCTTTTCTGCCCATTTTTTGTTAAAAACGCTTTCAAGTTGTTTGCCCATAATATAGACATCAGTACCAGGAGCATTGAATTTGTAACAGTTGTCAAACATTAAACGTATGTCAGCCTCAAACTCTTCAGCTGATCTATATTCTTCATTTTCCAGCTTGCTATTGATTTTAGAGAGGTCCATTGGATTTTTTATGATGGTATAGTATTCAGGAACGCCTAGTTTTTCTGCGTCGACTCGTTCGTAGAAAGGATAAGCGTATGGATAGTGTTGTTTCTTTCTTAACTCCAGATATACTGAGCGACAGAATTTAAGTTCAACATTTTTCTTTGTTTTTTTGCGACGAGGAGTTTGTGTGTCCTGAGGAATTTCTTTGTTGGGAAATTTGATCATTCTTTTTGGCCTATTTGCTTCAGCATTGTCAGACTTAACAGTGGAAGTGGCAGCACTATATGAAGCAGCGACTGTTGATGGAGTGGCAATAGTAGAAGTAGTAGTTTCTATAAAAGTTTTATTGTTTGATTTAGTGGTTGGTTTTGTAGATGATTCTGCAACAATTTTAAATGCAGGTTTCTAATTATCATTATCATCATTATCATCATCATTATTATTTATTATTTATTATTTATTATTTATTATTTATTATTATCAAGAAAAGTTATATTAGTATAAATATAAATACATAAATATAAATTAATAGATATATTAAGAGACATATAATATGTAATATGAGCGAATGATCAGTTACCTCCTTTTTGGGTTCTTTAGGTTCTTTAGCTGGTTTAGGTTTATTAATAGGTTTAGCTCCAGGCATTTTGGCAAGTTGTGCGATAAATACTTCCTCTAATTCTTTAGCATATTGAGAGACTGGGTGATGTTCGCCATTATACAACACACAATTTGAAAAAATAAGGCGAACATCATCTTCAAAGTTTTTGACAGACTTGTATTCATAATTATTAAGTTTTTTTTCTGCAGTACCAAGGTCCATTGGTGTTTTTATAATGTTGGGATAATCAGGAATATTGAGTTTGATGGGATCCACAGGTTCTAAAAAAGGAATTGAATATGAATGACGTTTTAATGCTTTCAGAGCATTGGTGCAATGTTTATTGTGTTCTCTACTCATAGCCTCGCTAAACCAAGGTGTATTGAATCTATTTATAATCAATTAAAAATAGGAAATAACGTTTAAAGATAAATATTTGGAATATAATTATTATATAATGAATCAAATGAGAAAATAAATAGTTTTAAGAAGCCCTTGCTTGGCATGAGTATAAGAGAAATCATAAAGAAAAATGGACACGATTCGACAAATCAATCGATGAATCCTCAATTTTCAAAATACCTTGCATACTTATCAACGTTACTAGGACTTGCGCTAGACGAAGAAGAGACGCCTGATTGTTCTTGGATGCTATTGTTTTTCTTTGTTCGAGTCATGGCGAATATGTTAAGGTGGTGAGATATAAGATTACTTTTTAAAAATAAAAAGGTTAATATGAGTATTGTATATGTATGTAGTAGAGGTGAAAATTGTTTTGATTAAATTATTATTAATTTTTGATACACAAGAAAAAAAATACACATATTATTGTTATTATTAGTATTATTAGACTAATTTTTTATCTGTTTATTATGCCTAATTTTTTTCATAACAAAAGAAAAAAGGACGTGGACAAGGGTATGTGATATCAAATTTTATTTTTCCGAGAATTTGTAGTTTTCATTGACATCATTGGCAAAAGAAACGGTAGCTCCAAGAACTTCAAGAGCAAAAACATACCTTCTTCACCTCTCTATCTTTTTTTTTGTGGGATGCAACAACCCTTCCTTTGTGGGAACGTAATGTTTTTCCTGATTGAATAGTTAGTAGTAAGCGGTTTAAATAATCTCATAATATGATGAAAAGAAAATCCCAACCTTTCTTCTTTTTTTGAAGGAACATGAGAGTATTATTTGTTACAAACTTTTATCAACACTGGTTTTATCATAATGAAAGATCGTTTGTATGATATCTCTGGTAAGTCAGATGGCACTTGCAGCGCTTTCAACATACAACTCCAATAGCTTGAATATGGACAAGTAAGAGTTTTGATTGTATTTGCTTTTAAATTTTGATTTTTATTTATCTTATTTGGAACAATTATTACAACGCAGATGGTAAAGCAAAGTATAAAAGGATGTTATCAGATGGTGTTTTTGAGAAGGACTATGTTTATGAAATTTTCAATTACATATTTCTAGCATAACCACTTGTGTCTCGATTTACTATAATGTTACAAGATATATCATGGCTATATTAATATCATAGGATGTGTTTCATGTTCAATAAATTGTTACGTCTAGTAGTCTATCTGTTGGTAAAATTTCGCTTTCTATGGTAAATAAATGTTTTTAATAGTTATTTATTTTTTATCAATATAACAATTATTCCCGATCAACAATGCAAGAGGAGTAGTCTATAAAATTCCTCAATTTATCACAAATTAATTAATTGAAAATGTGCCAAGGAGAATGCATATGTGGCCAATAGATTATTGGATTGAAGTTTATTTTTTAAAAATTGTATTGTTTTAGGCAGTATAAATAATTTCCAAGAAATAAAAATCAATTAAAAAAAAATTTCGAGATAGCAGTCTAACTACATACTTGGCAATTCCTAATGACTCATCACTCAAGCGTGCTACCTCATAGCCACTTAGTGCTGCAAGTTTTCCCTGCTCTGTTTCCAGCCTCGGGCTTTAACCTTGCTATTTAAGAACCTACTGGCCCAAATGGTAATATTAAAAGGATGCCTCAATGGAAAACAAAGATGATGGTTGATAAAAATGTTGCTGAAATTGTAAAGAATTTTCTAGAAAATTATGCAGAAGTTCATGGATTACCAAGTCCAGGAAGAAGTAACAATAGAATAACTCAATCAGTTATATTTTTACCAGCAGAAATGAGTTATAAATCAGTACACAGGGATTTTCTAGTTGGTCTGGAAGAAGATAACAAATTGAAATTTTTAAAATATGATGCTTTCAGAAAGTTATGACATAAATTGTCACCAGAAATTCAAATCATGAGTCCAAGGACTGACCTGTGTGATACTTGACAACATTTTGAGATGGTTTATATTATAATGTTTGTCAAGAGGGAGAAGCTAAAGTTTTGCTCAAAAAATTTAAAGAACATCTGTCCAAGGCTAAACTAGAAAGAAACTATTATAATAAAAATAACAAATTAGCAGAAGAACAAAGAAAATTAGTTAATCGAATTATTCAAAAGGTAAAACACAATATTGCAGCATTGATGCTATTGCACATTATGGTTATGATTGAGCCCAAAATGTTCATGTACCACATTTAGATCAACAAGTAAGTAAAATCTATTACCTTAGTCCATGTAAAGTTCATTTATTTGGTATTCAAGATGAAGCAGTAAGGGAACAAAT